GGGGGGGAGGGAGGAAATCGAACCCCCTCCATCCTCCCTCATTTGTTGGCTCGACTACAAATGAACACCAGAACCTCGATTCAACGCATGACTTCATTACACCCTTCAAGATCAGCATTTCCCTTCCCCTATATCCCTGCGTTTAAATAGGCTCCTGATGAGGTTAGTTGTCAATCTAAGACGGACGTATGATCGAAAAAGCATGGTAGTGCAAATTCACTCGCTATTTTCAAGTCTCAAGGCCTCGAAAGCCAACGGTGTAGGGTGGTGTACACCTTTTGGAGAAAATATGTGGGAGGCCCCGGCTGGAAACTACTATCGTCTGGTGTTTCTGTTTGTTTTACTGTCTTTTCAACACCTTGATGAGATTGATTTCCCCTTCTGTCGTAACGATTATTGAATTTCAAGATAAAAGAGAAAATAATGACATTTTGGAATTGAATAAGCCGAGCAGAAGTGAACGCAACCATTTCCGTTTTCGTCTTTTTTGGTTGGTGTTCTCCACCCATACATCATGTAGGGGCGCCGATATATTTTTTTTTATTTACAGACATCCCACGCCAATTCTCTGTTGGTGCATAAACAGTTATTATAATTATTTTTATCTTTTTAAGGCCGAATAATTTCTTCAATAGAAAATGAACATATTCTCTTGACCGTTGCTATCTCTATATTTCCAAATTTATCGCTTTTTACATGTCATGGTGACGCTTTATCAGGAACGATCTTCATCGTTGACAGAGTTCGTCCAAACAGTCGTCTTTATATTTTTATCCAACGACAAAAAAATCAAACTTTGTTTTAAGATTTTTTTAGTGTCTGCTATTGTAATCGCCGGATTCAAGTTCTCTCTGTTTATATATTATACGATTGCTTCTAGTAAATGGAATGGAATTCTAACAACAATCACTTTCAAGTGACAAATATCAATTTTGTTAAGAATCCTTTCTAATCCAATTTTCCGCTGAAAGGAAAATATTTCGAATATTTTTAGCGTCTTTCAGAGCTTCACACCCTTTTTGATTGGATAAATATTATAATAAATAAATACACGAATATTACACATTTCATTTTCTTTGCATTATCTTTTTAAAACACTTCCTTTCATAACGGAACCTCAAATTGCCGCACCCTGGCCGAAGAAGCTCGTAATATGCCGAAAATAGTCGAGATGCTTCCCCGAACGTTCTCGTAATTTTCCGAAACTTCATGAAAGTACTGTGAATGATGGGAAATTCTTGTCCTCTTCCGCTGTGATTTCATTAGAATATTGTTATCATTTACTAGAGCTGAGTGTAATATTGGTTGTTTCGGCGACGCGAACAAAGTGGGGAATGCCGAACTTCCCGTAGGTTTTAGAAGTGTTTCTGTACCATTCTTTGACAAAGGGATCTTTTTGACAGCGACATGGTGTTCACGGGTTCCGTCAAATTAAAGGTGCTGGAGGCTAGAGACTTAAAACCGGCGATGTTGGCTCAGAGAAGAGTCAAATCTATCGATCCGTATGTATCCGTTCATGTGGATGATGTTCATATAGCGCAGACATCTCCAAAACCGAAAACTTCGACGCCAATATGGAACGAGGAGTTTGAAAGTGAGATAGAAAATGGAGAGACACTAGGAATAACTGTATTTCACAACGCAATAATGCCGCCCGATCCGTTTCTGGCGAATTCGTCTGTGCCTTTGGAAGAGATCATCAATTCGGGAACCTCTGATATCTGGGTACGGTTAGAACAATTTGTTTGAGTTTCTCTTTCTCTAAAGGGACTTAATTAGTCACAATGCTGTCTGTATCTAATGCCATTTTATCATGCATTTCCAGATTCCACTCGAGCCCGAAGGAAAAGTTCACCTTTATATCGAACTTAAACCGGCGATGCAAGGTAAGTTGTAAATTTTCATGTCGAGTTTCGAACCGTTTGTGATCTCCTCTGAATGAAACTTTTTCCTCAGAAAACCTTTCCGTCATGCTATTGTTGACATTTGAAAAATAATTTGTGTGGTAATGTTTTGTGTTCACCGTCTACAAGTGGAATTAGAACGCGACGATGCGAGCTTCGATCGCCGCAAGATGTTGCTTCGATCTAAATCGACTTTTCATTCGTCATGCAGACTGTGTGTTACAGAGCGACAAAGTGGTGATTCAAGGCCGCTAATAGCTGTGTATTTAAGTTAAGTAATTCTTGTTTCAGGTAAAATGCATTCAACTAAGAATTGTTTTTTGTTTTTATTGTTAACAGACAGAGAGAGAAAAGTATTCAAGGAAAGGGAAGGCGGCATCAAAGCCCGAAGAGGGGCTGTGCGTCGAAGAGTGCATCAAATAAGCGGCCACAAATTCATGGCAACCTTCCTCAGACAGCCGACTTTTTGTAGTCACTGCAAAGAGTTCATCTGGTGAGAAAGACATTTTAGTGTTATAGCTTTCGTATTGTGTTCTTTTGTGGATGATTTTGCATGAAAATGATCCATAATTTACGCTTTTGGTTGTGTGACTGAAAGCCGACGTGTCTTACTACCACAACAAAAAGAAACAATGACATTTTCCTTTTCAGCTGGTTTGGCCGATTAGTTTCCTTTTGCATTTAAAATATGATCCGAAACTTTAAACGGCTAGACGAGATGCCCTCAATTTAGTTTTTACGTGCAGGATGGCTTCTTTTGGAAAATTTGCCGTGCTCAATAAACCTTTTTCCTTTCGAGTTACCCTGAGTGACAACCTTCTTGTGACTTACAATGTAGGCACGCTTGACATTTCTTCTCTGAGGTTTGAAAGTATTTGTTTACCAAGCAATATCATAACAGCTTTTACTGGGGTATTAAACATTTTACGAAGTCGCTTTTCTAGTGTTTGCATCCTTTTAAAAGAATGTTTCTAAACTGGGAAGTGTTCGACTTGATTGTATTCGTGCTAAGAATTTATCACCCCTTTTTAAAGCTTTTCCAGGCGATCTTAGTTACCCCACCGACGTGACCAATTTATAAGCTTTGAACAAGAGGACACTGTACCTTTAGTCACAAAGAAAGAATAAAAAGGTAGCAATAAGTTGAATGGGACACGATTAAACCTATTAAAAATTAATCTATGTCAAAAAAAAAAACCAAAAAAAACCGTGGATAGTTTCCCGTTTCATTTTCTTACGTGTGACTTCTCTTGTAAACACTTTTGGGATAAATGAAATGCATAATTTTGTTTTAAATGTTTTGACTGTGTGGTTTGCGATCTCCTTTAGTAAGCAACCGTATGTGTATTATTTTTTTTCCCAAGCACATTCCAAGCTACTGTCTGTCTGAGCCACTTCACATCGGCTTTGACACCACGACTGTTTCAGTACGTTCAACTTGCGAACAATTTTGCGAAATAATTTATTTTTCTCTTTGAAGCATCTTTTCACGTCATTTTGATGTACAATAATTAAATTGAATGCAATTTTATTTTATATAGTTTTAATATTATTATTTTGTTTTTTAAATTAAGAAGTTGTTTGGTTTTTTATGTGCGAGGTTATTACATCATGAGAAATTTTCGGTGCCTGCCTTGTTATGCAGAAGAAGCAAATTTTGCAGAATTATGAGATGATTTGATGGTTGCTTGTGAATTTGATTGATATAAACAAATTTGCACAACATTATTATTAACAGTGCTATGGCAGGAAAGTTGAAGAATTTCAACTGAATTGAAATAATACTGAGTCAACAAGATCACTTGAGGAAAATTGGAATTATTTCTTTATCGAAGGGTAAATTTGGTATACATTAAGGTAATTGATCTCCCTGAAATAAATTTTTCTCCAAAATTACAGAAAAATCCTGAAATATGAAAAGTGTGTGAAGTATGATCAAACTTTAAAATGTTTTTGAAAATGTGTTTGATAATGGAAAAGTTATCACGTTCCAAATATGTTTTTTATTTTGTGGAAGTTATTGTATAGAGTGTAACAGCCAAAACAGATGTACATGTTTACAGTTTTTCGCTGCACGAGTGCAATGGATGAAAAAGAAGCCACGGTTTGCGCTTAAGTTCAAAGGTGCTATTACTGTTTATGATTTGTCGTGCAGCTGAAGAATCCAACCTTTAATTGTACACCTTTGATCCTGTTTACGTTTAACATGTTTCTTCATGTTGTTACATTTCTATGAGTTGTGCATTTTGTGTGGGGAAGACAGTACTGGTAATATTAAATAAGTGCAAAATTGCTCAGGTATGACTGAATGAAATTCTGTTATTTTTTTTCCTACTGTCTGAAGTAAATAAGTTAAAATCATAACTTAGCAAATGCAAAAGGGGAAACATTCTGCAACTAGAAGTTGCATGATCAAGAAAAGACTATACTCCTGACCACTTGCTGTATGCAAACTAGGGGAGCTAAAATCTGTTGTTTACATTTAAGAGCATAGAATCAAATTTGACTCTGTGATGAATTACAATGACATCACAACGATAGCAGAAGTTAGTGTACTTGAAGTGGAGTGAAAGGAAATGTAGAATCCAGGTTTCTTTGTTTCAATTTTGTTTTGATTTCTACAGCCAAGTATGAAAATATGCTTGAACCTGAACTGAAAGAAACTTGTGGAATGATTATGCAGTACAGTCTTTGTGCAAGACTGGACAATGGACATGTCTGTTCCTTTAGTCTTTGACCATGAAATATTAATCTTGAAAGCTGCGTTTGATGAATCTCGATATCAATATGGTGATATGTCAACATGTGGTGTACTGGAGAAAGAAACAAAAGCAGAAAAAAACAAAGATATATTGTTCACACCTGAGACTGACTGATTTGTTCAAAGTGTGTTATAAATTCTTACAGAGAAAAACTTTATTGCAGTTAGCTTTGGAAGTAAATGATGGCAGAAGGGAAGGGGGTGAAACTATCTTTAAGTGTGTGCTTTGTGAAAGGCTGGGTTTCATGATGCAACTGAAGAATAAGACCTTGAATTGTATATTGTCAATCTTGTGTAGCTTAAACATGTTTGTTCACATTGTTACATTTCAAGTTAGTATTAAACAAGTGCAAAACTGCTCAGGAATAACATTTGTAAATAATTTCACTTCTACTTCTGGGGGTTTTTGTGGCTGTCAAATCAAGCTCTGATCAAGTTTCTTGACCTATTATAATAACAGATACAAACCCTAAGAATTGATCAACATGTGGCATGAAAATCAGGATTTTCCTAGTTCACTTGAAATTGCCTTTATTTGAGGGTTTGAATTCTTTTAGGATAATGTAAACCTGCTAAAACATAGAACACTGAATCATATCTTACAATTTTTATTGCTTTTTACGAGGTAGATTAACTACCTGATTAATGGCAACCACTCTTTTCGTCTTAACTGAATTTTATTTTGAATATTTTTTAATCCATTTGTCTAGTCCTTCTTATTACTTTGATAAAATTTTCATGGTCCGTCTTTATTTTCTCTCCTAAAAGATAATCAAACCTCTTAAGTGTTGGACTTTGGATATTAAAATGTTGTGAGTTCTTTGCATTTTAAATTATTTATCTCCAAATTGTCATGTTATTAACAAATGCTTTTCATTCAACTGATTCATTCCTGGTTTTTTCTCATTACCTTGTTCCCACCACCAACAGCACATCTTCATCTTTCTGTAGGTTAACCACACGCAACCCTCAGTTCCTCGATTCACTCTGACAAAGGGTTAACCCTTGAATCAAGAACTTTAGAATTTGTTTTCAGGCACCTCTAAGTTGATAAAACCAAGTTATTAAGTATAATAGGCTTATTGTACCTAGTTTTGTATTCCATTACCAAAATTCTTCTAGTAGTTCTTAAACTAAATTTATGCCCAGCTGCTATTGCAGAGTGTACATGTATTAAAGCCTCAAAAAGATGCCTTGTCTCTCGAGAGGCCTTTTAGCATAAATTGTTCATTACCGGTAAGATGATTTAGAATTTGCTTAGAAAGAGTTTACCTTCAGCTGCTTAAAATGTTTTTATTGCAATGGTAATTTCACTTTTTTTTTTTGTTCACTATGTATGGCACAAAAATTAATGTTTTTCATTCTGCCGTTAATCTTACAAATAAATGTTTCACCCATTCAGTTTTGAGATTAAAAGTCAGAATGTTGTCAACAAGCATGCTTTGAACTTGGGTGGTATTGTGTTTTTAATAGTAGACTGAAGAAAGCTCTGACACTTTGGTGTAACTAACTTTTACTTAAATGAAAAATTTCTATTTTGGGAGGGTTGCTCAAATTGGTTGTTTTTCTGTAGAACCCTAAAAATTAAGAGAAACATGTATTCTATGCCTTAAATCAGATCACAACATGCTTTTTATTTATGCCAACATGAGTTGTTTCACTATCCTAGTTTGTGGGTTTGAAATCATCAGCAGACAACAGCTGCTCAAATATGTTTGTATGAGCCAAGTATTATGCTAAGACCACAGTGGTTTTGGTAATTAAAAGTGTGATTATTTGTGGAGCTGTGGTTGAGCTTTTTTTAGCCTTTTAATCTCTTGTAATGGCCAGTGGTTTGAATGGGATCATTGCAGTACAGGGAAGCTTTTTCCATAAGAAACACTCTAAAACTTGACCAAGAGAATTGCTGCTGTCGAGTCATTGGAAACAGGCTGTAAAATATAGAAAGTTTTATCAACATGTTAGTAGTTTTCCATTTTGTTATTGTCAATGTGGATTAAGAAAAGGTTTTGAAGAGAAACTTCAATTAAACTGAGAGTGCCAGAGTTTGGTTAAAATTTGATGAGGGATTTCTACATCAAGATGGCTATTGGGCTGAAAAATATTATTTGTTATATTCTTGATCTTCTGTGCAATTCCTTTTGCAAAAAAACTTAATCATCTATACACATTTTGGACTTTTATTCCCACATTTTATATTTTAACACTTGCTAATTACATGGACCCCATTTCTGTCTAGACTAAAGTACTTTTCCTCTAATTTTGCCAGGAAGATGTTACGTCTGTTTTATATACTAATGCTTTTTGAAGAATTTTAATTATACACACTTTTTTTTGTTTTTTTGGAAGCTTGAAAATTGCCCTTTTTTGTCATTCCGGAATACTTCTAGGGCAAAGAATCCATTATAAGATTGTAACGTGGATAAATTCAAAGGTGGCAAGAAACCAGTGTTCAAAGTTTTAACCCTCACTTTTTTTTATTTCAAGCTCATTTAAGACAAGATGTTAGGGACTTAAAGAAGTCAGGACGGCAACGCCATGGAAGACATCATTTAAAAAAGGAGTTTCTACTTTTAGTTAGAATTTCAAAAATGGCTGCATGTGTTTACCGTCTCAAAGGGCGCCAGACCTCAAACTCAACATATCGCATAAAAGTAGCATTGAGTTCCAAATGTTAATTAAAATAATTTGCTGCCGCGGTTTCGCTTCGCAGATGACGCAAATATTAGTGATTTCACGTTCTTTTGCAAAGGACGGCTAAGAAATGTACAAAGTTTTAGAACGCACGCGCTGGGGTATTGTTCTGCCAATTAGATCTATTGTTTTTCCACGTTCTTGTTGCTGTGGCCGTCGTGGTTTGCTTAAAGTCCCTATTAATTTTGGAGGTGTGGACTCACTCAGCTACTTCTTGCAAGTCCACATAATTTTGACCTCTGTGATGACAAATAGCATTGTAGCATTGTAGCGTTGTAGCATTGTAGATATAAGTAGGGCTCAACACTAACGGTAGCCCACTAGCCACAGACTAGTAGAAATTCAGTTTTGGCTAGTGGTTTTCAATTTCCACTAGCCAGTTTGGTTAGTAAACAGACTGAATTTGTTGTCACATCTAAAAACATCTAAGATGTCACTAACCACCTGGCTAGTAAGTTGAAAAGTTAGTGTTGAGCCCTGAATAAGAGTACAAACCACACTAAACCTTTGCGGATTTGTTTTTTACCACAGCATCGATGTCAATTAAAATTATTCTTTCACCCTAATTTCAGTATGCATATTCTCTCTACTCTTCTCTATACACTTTAATTTCTTTGGAACTGACAAGGAGAATTTGTTAAACAATCAAAGCTTCTTAGATTGGCGATCATTTCCTTTACTCTTATGATCTGAATGAATGATTCAGCAGTACTGCTCTAAGGACAATTACATGTAGGTCGCTCTTGACTGATGGTTTAATCCCTTTAATGCCTAAGAGTGATTAGTTTACGTATATAAGAACGATCCTTCGCAGTAAAGCACTATTTGAGCAATAGTGGAAATCAGACCTGAAAAAAATTTCAGGCCTGAAATTTTTTTTTTTTTTTTCAGGTCTGATTTCCACTATTGCTCAAATAGTGCTTTACTGCGAAGGATCGTTTTTATATACGTCTCATAACCGCAGTTCACTCATGTTTCATATGTTTGTTGTTGAGTGATTAGTTTCTAATTTCTCCTTGCAATTTTGCCCTTGAATCAAACGCTAAGGGCATGAGAATAAAGGAAATGATCAACAACTAAAGAAGCTCTTGATTGTTAAACAAATTCTCCTTGTCAGCACCTTACAAAATGTATGGAGAACAGTACGGAGAATATGCATAGTGCTGTTGGGGAGTAGAGCGGTTAAAGAGTTAACTGAATATCTACCTTGTTGTTTTTTCTTTTTAGGGGCATCATTAACAAACAGGGCTACCAATGCCAAGGTGTGTTGATTATGATCATTTGATCGATGAAAACCTTCTGTAAATACTGCATAGAAGTTGGAATAACATATTTTTTGGACAGTGAGATAGGATTTTGCGAAGAATTGTTTAATTGTTCAAGTTGTTGTTCTGGCCATCTGACAATAAAGTTGAATGTTTCGGGTCTTTTTTCTGCTATGTAACATAGTTAGTTGATTTTGATTTTCCTCATTCTTTCATTTGTTTACCTAACCAACAACCTAACCTGCTCCCAGTTGGTTTGTTGGCTCAGTTGGTAGAACACTGCACCTTTATGGCAGCGGTTGTGGGTTCAAATTCTGCTCAGGCCTGAATTTTTCTTTTTGCTTTTTTCCTTTCTTTTTTTCTTTTCCAGGCCTCATTTTCACTACTGCAAAGATTGCTTTCAAATTCAGTTTTACTTACTTAGTTTACTTCCTTCTCTTGTTTAGGTGAATACGAATATCTATTCATTCATTGATTTATTCATCCATTCATTGAGTCATTCATTCATTCCTTCTTTCACATAAGAATTTATGTGTTAATTTTTGTATGTGGTTGTTGTTGTTGTTGTTGACAGTTTGCACCTGTGTAGTTCACAAGAGATGTCATTTAGATATGGTCTCCCAATGCTCTGAAGAAAAGCAAGAGCCCCCCGAAGTTTTACCAGAAGATGACAGGGTATTGATTTGTGTAATACATATACTATAATTATAGTAAATGTAGAAATTCTCCCGTGCTCTATGGTCAAGAGCCATTGTCAACAAAAGCATAGAAGGGTATAATTATAAAGTCATTTGTTGGAAAGGAGAATTTTTGTGCATTCTCGAAGAGAAGTGAATTTAAAAGGAATTTCTTCCTATTTCATTTGGACCTAACACAATCAGATTTTCTCATGAACAAGTTAGGGTTGACTTTGTCTTTGGACTGTGTGCTTTTTCCTTTAACCTTCTAACTCCCAGAAGTGATTAACTTGTAACTTCTCCCTATAACATCCATACATGATCCAGCAAACAGGTAATGAGAATTAACTCTAAGAAGTGGACAACCGTAACTAATGGTGAAAAAAAGGTTTATAATTTATTTTCATTTGAAATGCTTGTCTAAAAAAAACATTGTACAGCTTGTAAAGAAGCTTCTAGTATGGTATGTGGTGCAGGCCAGTTTAGGATGTGCTTTGCAACACCAGATAATCAATTTTATTTGATGTCACAGATTTTAGAAGGATGAGAGCTCAACATATATCATTGATTTTTAATCCTTGAGATGGAATTCTCTGGAATTTGTTTTGATTTTTTACGTCTTGCAAAATGTTATTGAAGACACTGGTGATCAGACAAATAATTTGCTGTAATGTTTTAGTCGCATGTAACTTTTTTGCTAATGTTAGGACACAGACATACAGAAAACCAATAATTTATCCAGGAGATTATGCTGCTATCTTTGAAAATGAGATACACTTTGATTGTATTGTGTTGTCTGGGACCGCATTGTGCTACTTTCCTGTGCACTGTTTTTCATAAGCAAATATATTAAATATCTTAAAAAAATGTGGCTAGACATTTATATTGCTCATTAGGTGAAGTAAGGCCAAGTTTAGATCATTTGTCGTAAATAAAAATGTCTTATATTGGCTTGTGGCACTTACCAGTCATAAAATAAAAGTTTTGTGAAAACAAAAACTTGCAATAGCTATAAGAATGTAGCTAGATAAGTTATTAAAAAATTCATGGAAATTTGCAAACTAATTTCCAAGACCCAGGAATAGTATAGAAATTTAATTTGAAAGATGAGGAGGAGTCCAGCATTTTTCCAAAGATGCCATAAGTACCTGATATCAGGATATATCTCTGCAAAGGAACTGAACATGAACTAAACATCAACACTTTAAAATTTCTTTCTAAGAAGTTGTGATTATTTGAAGACTACATCCCCTAGGTGATATTTTTCTTCATTCTTATCACCTGTTTGGATGACACTGTCTCAGAATTTGAAGGAGAAACTATGTAATGATCACTAATGGGAGACAACCTGTTCACACCCAGATATGATTTGCAAGTAAATTCTCCATACAATTTGGAAATATTCCACAGAGGTGACGAGAATAAACAAACTTGTCAGCAAAGAGTCTTATCTTGATGTAAAACCAAATTCAAATATATAGCAGCTAAAATATTAATAAGAAATTGGTTAGTTGGAGTTGTAGGGCTGGTGGGTTTCTAGAGAATTATAAAAAACAGTCACATGTTCTTCGGGCCATTCCACCTTAAAGTACCCCAAAAGAAGATCTTGTACTTCACTACTGACAGTTGATAGTGAAATATTACATGGTGCAGAAGGGAATTTTAGTGTACTAATAATGGTTTTGTTTTGTTTTGTTTTTTCCCCGTAGAGTGGACTTTCACGGCAAAGTTCAATTTTGCGTCGGTTCAACCTTAATATTCCTCACAGGTTCAAAGTTCACAATTACAAAAAACCAACGTTCTGTGATCACTGTGGTTCTCTTCTGTATGGTATCGTGAGACAAGGAATGCAGTGTGAAGGTATGTAAAGCATCATGGGAAGAAATACTGACCCTTATAACTCAACTATTCATTTACTGGGCAAATTATTTTTACCCAAAGCTTTGTAAACAGGCATATTTTTCGCTAGTTTTTTCTTTTTTTGTCTGACTTACTTGATTTGATATTGTTGTAAATCTTGGATTAAGTTTAAAAAATAAGGCATACAAGGTTCCTAGGATTTTCCTCATCTGCCTTCCTCAAATAATGAGATGTAACACACACGGCACTGTTTCAATTCAATGAAATATTTAGGGGTGTGTTCAATAGTTTTCTCTTACCCTCCCAGCGTATCTGGGTATTTGATTAATGACGATGTCTAATTTTTTTGTAACTCATTTGTTGTGGTGCATTCCTCTCCCAGCTTGCAAACTAAATGTTCACAAAAGATGTCACATGCGCGTAGCAAATAACTGTGGGGTGGATCCAAAAAAGATGGCAAGCTGTCTGAGGGATTTGGGGCTCACAGTAAACAAGCTATCAGAATCAATGAGAGTGAAAAAGGTTTGCACATATGAATTTTTGTTTTTAGTTATATGACCGTTGAGAACGTTAACTACAAGAAGCTTATTTTGCTCTTTCTATCACCTGAAATTGTCATTAAGGCAGACTCACGCGGAATGTTGCAACATTTTTGCATCTGACATCTGTGAGTTCTGAAGCTGTTTGGTGGCGGCCATTCCTCGCCAGTTTGTAGAATTTTTTCAAAACTTTCTCCCACCTTCTACTGGGTGTCTGGACTGGCGGCACATGGTGGGGTTGTACAGATTTGCCTAGGGGTCGGGGGGGTATATTACCCAAGGAAACCCACAATGTCCTTTCCACCACCATAGCTCCTACTCTACAAACTCACTGGCTTTCTTATATTTCTTCTTCTTTACCCAACAGCCATCAATCCAATATAATGGATCGGACAGAATGATACCCTATGATCGTTCTTCGTCACAAGTGGCACTCATGGATGCTCAGGAGAACAACAGCGTCATTGGATCATTAGATTCGCTCTCCATAAAACCTGACGACCTGGAAGCTTCCCCCGGAGCCAGAAGACGACAGAAGAAGATTGGCCTGTCTGACTTCAATTTTATCAAAGTTCTTGGGAAGGGCAGCTTTGGCAAGGTGGGAACTAAGTCCTTTTATTCAAGTCGTGCATTAAGGTCAAGATTCTCATAATTAAGCAAAGAAATAATCCTCGCAGGTGAGCTGAAATTGAAGTAATTGCAGAGGCGTCGAGGGGATTCGTAGTTTTGGATATGTCTTTTTTTTTGTTTCCAGGTTCTCTTGGCTGAGAAAAAAGGCACCGATGAAATTTATGCCATTAAGATCTTAAAGAAGGAGACAGTTCTACAAGATGATGATGTTGAATGCACAATGATCGAGAGACGAGTTTTAGCGCTATCTGCAGGTCACCCATACCTCACAGCCCTTCATTCCAGTTTCCAAACAGCGGTAAATAACATTCCTCATTTTCTTCTCAGTTTTTGTCGTTGTATTTTTCGGGTAACCTGTCGTTCACGAGATTTACCTTCGTTTCACATATGAGACGTTAGCGAAACGGCCTAAGACGTTAGCGAACTGGTCGTTAGCGAAAGGACTCGGAGGCAAAACGACCGTAATTCCTCTTTCGCACTTCCTACCGCGCAGGCTGGGTTACCTGGGGTTTGCACGAGTCGTGAAAATGTCGTAAAGTCTTGAAATTCTAGTTTTGGTCTCTAAGGAGTGGGAAATCCTGGAAAGTGTTTCCAAATCTTGCAATTTCATGGAAAACTTGATGAGATTTTCATAGAAGACTAACTGAGTGACTAATTCGTTTACACGTGGTAGTTGATAAATTAAAAAAAAAGTTTTAATCTATACTCGAGCCAAGTGACCCACTTAGCAGGACCTTGTCCTGGTTTCCTAGGCGACTAAGAGTATCACTAACCCCCCCCCTGGATGGGATGTTAGTCCAGTGCAAGGTTACCCCCCAGCATTTCATCACAGTTCCCTGTTAATTCTTCAGTACTCAGTCATTCTCCCCTCAGTCCAGTGCAAGGTTACCCCCCCCCCCCCCCCCGCGTATTTCATCAGGCTTCTCTGACAATAATCCATTTACCAATTACCCTTGGCTTCTGTTTCAAAGCATACGAACGGTCGAGTACCAGGCCTCGTTTTGAAAATGAGGCCAAAGGTAATTCGGAAATGGCCTAAACACAAGTAACCGTTTCTACTCCTGTGTGGAGAGAGGCACTGTGAAAGGAAAGTGATTTACCCAAGAACACAACACAACACAACACATTGACCCGACCATGTCTCGAACCCAGACCCCAGCGCACTTACCTTTAGGTCACTGCGTGTGCCATGGTAGTTGATTAGGGATTCATTCTTATGTTTCAGGATCGGCTGTTTCTTGTGATGGAGTATGTGAACGGTGGTGATTTGATGTTTCAGATTCAAAAAGCAAGAAAATTCAATGAGAAGAGATCTAGGTACCCGCCCTGGTTATATCTACGATTTTCTCTCTAAATGAATTTTTTTCTGACAGGCACATTCTTAAATGAATTTTTATTGTGCTGTTAGATTTTACGCTTCAGAGGTTGTACTGGCGCTTCAGTTCCTTCACAGGAATGGAGTTATATATAGGTAAGGATGTTAAAACATTCCATTTTTTTTTTTATCAGTAAACCGTCTTCTGCCTCTCCTATAGGAGTTACAGAACACTTAATCAGGGCTGTGCCCGAGCAATTCCAATTAATTTGTTGTCCATCAGCGACTTGGACAGCTCAACATTTTTGAAAGCTTTGAAGAGCTGAGTACCTCAGATGTCTGAGACCAGAGCCATCGAGCTCTTAGTGATTCTTTTAAGAGAACGTGCCCTTCCATAATAAAAAATTTGGACTTTACTCATTACAACCGAACATTAGAGGGATTTAGCACCGCGTTTACGTGAAACGTGAACGGCAAGAGTGACTACGTGAACTTGTTTTTCCCGCCATTTTTTCACGTTTAACGGTTTCGCTCTCCCGTTTCTACGTGAAGGTAACCTGTTTCGCGTTCACCGTGTCTATAAGATTTTCTTCACTTTTTCTCTCACAGAGTAGAAGTTAATTGCCGAACCCAAGGCTCCAAAACTATTCCGTGTAAGTCTTTCAGGGGCGCCTCAAATTCACCATGACCTGAGTTCACGCTAAAACTAAAGCAGCAAGGTTCGCGCTATTTTACGTGAAACGCGAAAGGGCAAGCTGACGTTTACCGTTTCACGTGAACGTAGTGCTAAATCTCTCTATTGATCTCCATATTCTCCTCGCTGTTCTCTCTACATTTTCTATAGTTCTGACAAGGAGAATTTGTGTCACAATCGGAGCGTCCTATTGGTAATCATATCTATCATTCACGTGACCTTTAAATTTGATTCAGGGGTGATATTGCAAGGAGAAATTAGATGCCAGTCAGCCCAGGGAGTTAAAGTGTTAAACAATGCGGCAAGGAATCATTTTATCGTCATTTGCTTCTAGAATTGCTGTTTGACGAATTAATGGGCTTCAGAGTTACTGATCCGTATCTACGGCTGCGTTCCCACTTGGTGCCCGAGCATCAGTAGTGCCAGGTCACCGGCACAGAATGGTGCTGTGTTCAGACACTGGGCACCCGATAAATCAGTGCCCGGTTCAGTGCTTGAGTAGAAGGACAATACCTTGTAATCGGGCACGGGGGCACGGTGCCCGAATTCTGGCGTGGGTACCAGAAAAAAAAGGTGTGTTCACATTAATGCCCATCAAGTATCGTGCCCGGGCACCGTGCTCGAGCACCAAGAGTGAACGCAGCGTATGAGAAAACTGTGAATCAAATTGCGATGCCGCCTTTTTAAGCACAGTTTGACGAAAGGAATTCTGTCCAACAGGGATTTAAAATTGGATAACGTACTATTAGACAGAGATGGTCACATCAAGTTGGCCGATTTTGGAATGTGTAAGGAGCGAATGAAACCAGGTGAATATACAAACACATTCTGTGGAACACCGGACTACATTGCTCCCGAGGTGAGATTGTTTTGAAGTAATTATTTTTTTTTTTAATAACATAACCGAGTAAAGCGCGCGGTCTGATTGGTCAATTCAGTGTCCACCATTTGCCATGGGTGTACGCTGCTGACGTGAGCAAATGTAAAGACTAGAATTCGCGCTCTTATTTTCTCCGGTCACGTAAGATTTGTTAAATAAAAAGGAACTCTTTTGCCACAATGTATCAATGTTATGTTATAGCAACCTTTGCAACCTCGGTGTGCATCCATAACTCAATTGTGTACGCTGTGGTGTTTACCGTTTGCTAATTGCAGAAGCTGTAATCGGGGAAGGAGACTTAAGCGCGTTTGGCTCGATAATGTTACCCCATCACAAGTGTTTAAGCAGAAGTAATACCATATGTGCTCGATACAAATCAAAAGCGTGCGTTTTACGAAAATCTTCGACTGATTTTGAGCTTTTGCTCTTGAAGTTAATGGGCCTTCTGTGGTTGGGATATCTGTGACTTTTAATGTTCGCTGCTTTTGTTAACAGATCACTTTAGTAACGTAAACCTGTTTTGAGCTTTTGCTCCTGAAGTTAATGGGCCTTCTGTGGTTGGGATGTCTGTGACTGTCTATCTGGGCTGCTTTTATCAAGAGAACCCTATGAGTGACCAATTTCTTCTTTAAGTGTGATGGATTTCTATTCTCTCCTTCGCTATTTGGATCCACTTCTTCGTTAAGTGGCCTCGTGTCAGTCACTGTTTCAGTATGAAGGATGATTCTGTGTGTGTGTGTGTTGGGGGGGGGKGGGGGGGACGAGGTTAATCCTCTCCGGTTCACATTCGTCATCGAATTTCTATTTTTATTTGTCTCAGATTCTGCAAGAAAAACCGTACGGGTTCTCTGTTGATTGGTGGGCCCTCGGAGTCCTTATGTACGAGATGATGGCAGGACAGGTTAGGGAAAACAGATTTTCCTTGTAATTCAACAATTAAAAAAAAAAAACCACTCACGTTTAGCCATCGCTGGAGTTTTGAATGTTTACTAAGATCTGTGCGGAATCTCCTTGACTCATACAGCGTTACCTTAGCTTAACTTCAATCGAATATCGAAAAAAAATAAGGATTGCATAGATTTTGGCCTATTACACCCTGTGATTGGTCTGGAAAACTTCCACCACTTTTTCAACCAACAAGGTACAATACTTAAACCAATTGTACTCCTGTTTCTCTGCGCTCCGGGAAAATTGCTTCTTTAGAATTCGAGTTCTCTTTGGCTCATTGTGACCTTAGCCTTTGTATCTGGTTAGCCGTTGATTTGTGGTTTTATCAAGTAAGATCGATAACTTTGGAACGAAATTCGTCGCGCAAGCGCTTATGGGATGGATTGGGGGTAACTCAAGGCGTGCTGTGTGCCCATGCCCACAAGTAATTTCAGTCAACCTGTAATCATCGAGGTTGGATTTACTCATCGGCTAGCAGAAGACCGTTTGACTGGAAACATTAAGATGTACTTTCAATAGTGAAACCAGAGTATGTAATGAGGCCGGAAAGGGTACGGCTTCTTGTAAAGCTTTAAAAGCTTAATTTTTATTTCTCAGCCGCCATTTGAGGCCGACAACGAAGACGACTTGTTTGAGTCTATTTTAAACGATGATGTGCTTTATCCTGTATGGCTTTCCAGAGAAGCTGTCTCAATTCTGAAAGGGGTAAGAAATGTGCACTTTGTGAACCTTCCGTGTGACGATATATTTCTTAAGACTATCGGGAAAGCTCTGTGGGAGAATCTTTGCTGCCGTCATTGTTTACATTTTTCTTCGCGAGCATAGTTGTTATGGCGTGGAAGTAGTCGAGGTAATGGAAAAATTTTATCAGGAATTAAGAATTGTAGTAGCATCTCAGCGTTTGAAGTATGTGAAATTTGGAGCTTGCAAATGAAACTCAATGAAATGTTTACCATCGCAAACGGTCAACTTTCTGGGTGGCACAATGCATAGGGGCCCATGCAATCGTCGCAAAATTTTTAATTTTTAGCATCGTTTAGCGGAGAAAATTCTAAATGTTGTCATGATTCGACTTGAAATTTCATAGAGGTGTTAAATTGCGTTGTATTTCGATTATCCAATACCAACATTTTTGTAGCTTTATAGGAAAAAAAATGTAGACAAAAATTCCCTTATTGTTGCATTGTGTGACAAACATTCCTACGGTAATTCAGGTGAAAGAAAACACACTATAGTGCTTTGCCTTCTGTAGCGCACTCAACTTTGCTCAAACTTTGTTTTTAAACTGTACTTTTTTTTCAGCCTTATCAGACCTTCCTCCCCTCCCCTAATAAAAATATTAACCAGGGGATGTTGTTTGATTCACCACGGTTTCACGCATGTTCTTTCGACCTCGTACAACTTCGCTCAACTTCGTGTATTTAGCGCTCGCCAAGCTGAAGAGATGTCCTGGAACCCAGGTTCTAACTGTGCTCTGTTTCTCTACAGTTTATGACGAAAAATTGTATGAAAAGGCTTGGCTGCACGGCGAGTGGAGAGCAAAGCATTCTGGACCATCCCTTCTTTAGGGAAGTCGATTGGATCAGATTAGAAGCGAGGGAAATAGAACCTCCATTTAAACCCGATATAGTAAGTATAGGAGACGGTTGTCCAAATTTCTTACATACTTTTTCCTAGTGTAAATTTGAGGCAAAGCAGAAATGAAGGTGAAAGTTTTCAGGGACGAAAGTTTGTAATCTAAATTACGAAGATTTTCCTCGGGGGAGCTAATTTCAATCGAGTGTTAATAGCATGCCGGGATTACAATGGTTCTTCTTTACTTCTCTCTGTGATTGGTCCAGGAAACTCGCACTTCCTTCTCAAATGCGACTTGGTCACGTGCGCATTTCCCGCGCTTTTCCCGCGCTGTAGGCAGGTTGCGTGTTTTGCACGCAGTTCTCATTGGCCGTTAGTGATGTTTTTCCACGCCGTGATTAGTTTTGATTAATGCAGACAAATCCACAAAATATGTAAAGTTATGGTGTGCATAAGCATCTTTCAGGGTCATGCTCTGGACATTTTTTCGCGCTCTTGCCTCGGGCTGAGATGCGGACATTCGCGCGTGTTCTTTGAATGTGCTTCTAGTTCCGTTCTGGAAACGAAATAACTATTTGTTGCTATATGTAGGCTGGTCTGCTGAATCGCCGTCCTTTGCAGAGCATGTGTCTACATCGTACACTCTTTGAAATAGTCCCGTTTAATTCTAAAAAAAAAAACCCTGCTTATGTGGAAACCGATCTACTTTCAAGTTAGTGAAGTGACATCTTTTTCATGTCTCGTCTTTGACAACCCTACAATCTTCCCTTTCTCCACTGTCTTGGCGATCTTCAGTTTGTTGTCCATGCTCACTTTCCCTTGGGATACTCATCAGCGAGTTCATTCCTTGAGCGCTGATGTCGTTATGTTCGGAGAAGACCGCGTATTCCGAAGCAAGCTTTTGGTACTGCTCGTTTTTCTTGCCTTCATTGTGAACCGCTTGCTCCAACTCATTTTGTACTCTTCTCGTGGCTTCTGTAACACTTCGAAGCTCCGATTCAGAATCAAGCATCTGTGCGATGGAACACCTTCAGGATCTGGTGGATTTCCATCTAAAGTGCTAAATCGCCTCTTCGGTGTTTTCCATCGAAAACGCTGTGCCTTTTTTTCATTTTGAATTTCTTAATTTTGGCACTTTAAATTTTGCCGCTGACCTTTGAGTTTCGTTGAGTATTTTTTGGGCGTTAATTGGAGCGTTTGTCGCGTCATAAACCAATCGTTTCCTTTTTGTTCCACATCCGGTTGTGTCATTTTAATTGGTTATTACGCACGCGCGAATTTTAGAGGATTGCACCAATTAGCGACATGGTGCAAGTCTCAGTGGAGCTGGGACTTTTTTCGCCGATTCTAGGCACACTTGGACCGGAATTAGGAAAGGCTGCATCTAGTGCACGTAAGTGAGACTTTCCCAGCAAACATTCCAGGAAAAATAATGCGAAGCGACCGGTTTCTCTTTTTCAGTCAGTTGTCATTTAATTTTGCCATTGCTCGGCTAGAAAGAAAACTTTTTCTTCAGGAACTTAATATGAGAGTTTACCTCTGAAAGATAAATCAAACCCCGGAATAGATGATAGGTTTTTTTTTTTCTTCAGCTCAGGATCAACCTAGTTGAAAAAAAAAAAAAACTTGACATATGTATGTGTCCTAGAGCGAGTCAAATCCGCCCCAGCTCTCGCTCTTCACAACTCCTGTTTTGCACCGGCACGCAATGTTTTGCTCTGAGCGCTAAGCTGAAGTCTGTTTGTAAATGATGAAAGGGGTTAAGTTTCTAGAGAAACTGTGGTGCTGCGTCGGTAAAGGTAACGAGGTAACTTGGTTTTATCAACTAAGTTGATATTGTAAATTGGCTACCGAAAAGAGTTTAAAAAGCTGACGTCTTGAGCGTTAGCCCTTTGTCAGAGCGAGTGGAGGAATTGTGGGTTGTGTGTGTGTTTAGTTGAAGAAAGTGGAGCTACGCTTTAAGTGGGAACGTGGTGACGAGAGAAACAAAAGAATAAACTAGTAGAATGAAAAGCGTTCGTTGATACCTATGGGATTTAGAGTGCCGACTCTTAACCCCATAGGTATCAACGAACGGCGAAAGGGGTCTGGGCAGACACACGGCAAAGCCCTCTCCGATTCGTCTTAAATCTTTCCGCGGACAGAGAAACGAACCCAAACATGGGAAGCGAGATGAAGTTCAAAACTTTTTGAACAATTTTAAACAGAGGCGGTTGGCATGCATGTGTTTTAGGCTCCACTTGGTACGTCAAACTTTTAGTAATAGCACAAGAGCCAGTTGAACGTTTTTCCTTTTTTTCCCCTTCGTAGCGTTCGAGAACGGACGTAAGGAACTTCGACACGGATTTCACAAGAGAAGACCCTAAATTGACGCCGACTGACAAGAACATCACCGCCAACATAAACCAGGAGGAATTCAAGGACTTCTCGTTCGTCAACCCTCTGTTCGCGAGCGAAAGACTTGTTTAATAGCTGCAAAACTTTACATTGTACATAGATAAAAAACAGCATGAGATGAAGAAAATTTGAAATTTTATTGCGAAATGAAAAAAAATTTATCTTTTAAGAACGTGATCGAGCAAGTGTATTTTTTAGATTTTAAATAGCCGTGAACTGTGCGCGCTGAAGTGGTCGATTTGCGGAATCTTTAGTTGTGTAGTAACCATTTGCTGCCGAGTGGTTTCCGCGAATTACGTCGTTTTTTGTTGTCACGCAACACTTCTTAGTCTCTCAGCGTGACAGTCGTGCGTTAGGGGAACCACATGTAATGTATCGTTCAACAAAAGAATTCCAGTATTTGTTCTGTACGTAAAAAGCCGAAGTTAGACTTAAATCGTGGTAAATAACATTTCATTATGTTTTTGATTGCGAAATTATAGCGTCACGGTGAGATTTACTAATTACTTTTTTTTCATTCGAGCTTTGCATTATCCAGTCGATTTGTGCGAAGTAAAATACATTTTTTATCGGAATATTGTCTTACAGGTATTAAAGAACTGTCAAAATTGTTATTTCAGAGCGCTTGTGCTTGCCCAAGTTGATCTTCGTTGAGAAGTCGATAATAGTTAATCGAACTCGAAGTATTAAGGAACCGCGAACGTTTTCTGTAGCTGCAGTTGATTTTTGTTGCTTGTCAAATCAAAATCCGTCCAAGAGGCGGAGAAGTCGATCACATTTGAAATGCTTTTTTTTTTCGGAAAACTTTTTGACAGACGTAAAACACATCTCTGCATTAGCGGGGTCACTGAAAGTTAGGCCGAAGACTATTTTTGCTGAATGACTTGTGGACTAAAACAGATTATCTAGAAAGTGTTTTACGCTTCAGAGAGAACAACAACAGACTTTTCAAATTCGGCGACGAGGATTGACTTGGACTTTTTCATTGTTAATTTTTTGATGCATCGCATTAATTTTGAGTTATTTATTGTGTATAATCTCAAAGAAATACTGTGTTCAAGAGAACTAGTTTCATTATTTTAAACAAGTTTGACCGCAGTAACATTTTATTAGTTAAAGTATTGTTACTGTGGACAATGTGTAATACCCGTTTAATTTTAGGTAAATTACTTTGTAACTGATCAAAAGCTTTAATTGTTTTAAAGGAAAGATTTTAAAATGTACAGAATTAATTCACCTCTGGTCCCCAAGTGCCCTCGCCAGCACGTTCAACCCTGGTCCCTAGTAAATTATGACGTCACTGAAAGGGACGCTTCTCTCGTGTGCTTTGGTCACAAGACTTTGCACGGTAAGCAAATTAGGAAACGCTTAGGAACCAGGCCTAATTCATGATCAAAAGAGAGAGTTGCGTTTTTCTTTACTGCGTCGCACAATTTGCGCAGAAGTGACTCAGATTAAACTAGAACTTGCCCACCCAGTATAATATGGTTACAAGAAAGGAAAATTGACAATCAGATCTTGAAATTGCAACCCTTAAGTTATGTGAGGGAATTGAAGCTTGAAAATGTGGATGAGTCAAAATGCTGACAACCAGTTTGAGAGAATCAGAGCATCGTGGGAAATCAGAGACTTAAGATACATACACTTTATTGACATCATTGACTGTATTGACAGATGCGTTTCTTCTTGAATTTGATCCGATCTGAAAGGCACTTGTAGTGAAACGGACAGTCGCTCAACACTTTCATAACGTAAAGGTATTTTGCCAGTGTCTTCTTGTAACTCGTAAGATTACCTAAAATTACAGAACTAGTGGTTACCGTAAAGATGTTTTTTTTATCTCTTTCGCCATTTTCGTGTTGTTCTACAAGTACACATGATTTTACCATCACTATTTTACTGCCTGGTGAACGGCATAACGGAAAGGTTCAATTTCAGTTTTCGTGATCCGAGCGTCAAAGATTGATGACTGTTGAATAGTGCTAGAGTGTAACAAATTTCTATCTCCTGCATGCTTAACAGCTTGCTACATTTTTTAATCGTTTTAAGAGTCATTAGTTCTTTTGAATTTTATCAACGGTTATCCCTAGCTTCGTATGTAAAATTACTGTAATAAAATTTAAAAGTCAAAACACATCAGAGGATTGCTTGTCATTACCTCCTTTCCGTAGCGAGAAAATTTAGGCGTTTTTTTTTCTTTTTTTTTCACCCAAGATCATGAATTTTAATTATCAGAAGTTATTTATATGTAACTTCTCCTTACGATATCAATGTTATTCAGTAAGCAAGTGGTGAGAATATATGAACTTATCAGCTGCAAATGGATTTCTTTTGAGGTACGATACAATTCGTTTGGCTTTTCTTTCCCGGGCTAAAACTGCCTGTGTAGGTCTGTCTGTGCTTTATCAAAGAAAGACCTGATTATGTTCAAGTAATGGTAATAAAACAATCTAATTTATCTGTCATGAGAGGAAGACAATGAAAAAAGCAAGGCCTTTTACAAAGCATCGCGAACTATGTTTTTCAACCTTAACCTTTTTCAGAGTTACAGCGAACTCGAAACTATATTGGTTTAAGCTGTTTTTCTCCAGAAATTCAACCATAAGGCCTGGTCTTCATTTAGATTTATTTAGCTTCGCCAACCGGCTGGGACATTGCAACAGCTGACGCCAATTACTGCGGGCCCAATAAACCCACCCATCCCATCCCAGGGGAGGACATCCATTACACAGTAATCTCGTGTGTGGGAAACTAACGTCTCCTACCCCAACCCAGCAGGAGACGGGACTTCCATGTATTCGTCCCCATCCGAGAAGACTAGAATATCTAACCATTTCTTGATGTTATAGAAAGGCAGCAAATTCTTCTCAATTATTTTAAGACTGAGTGTTGGTCCGGCCGGAGCTCGAACCCTCAACCTCCCGCACAACAGTCCAGCGCTCTATCCATATAATTACTGATTCCCATGAAATTCTATTGTTCTCTCTCTGCATCAAATCAACGATTGTAGTCTTCAAGATGATAAAACAACTGTATGAGGAAAGCGGGGGCGTTCCTTTTTGTTAGCAGGGAAATTATCAGGGGTAATATAGTTAAACGCGCTAAATGAGCATGCTGCAATATAAAAAATATTGCAGTGTGCAGGCTGCAATGTTAAAAATATTTCAGTGTGCAGGTTACAATAGTCCATTTTACAGTTGTGTGCTTGGTTGCCAAGCCTTTGAATGGGAGTGAGGCAAGAGATGACCTTGTTATGATACAAACCTTGCTGTCTTTCAAATGTAAATAATTTTGTTATCATGCTAAGTAGATACAGGTCTCTATCACAACAAGGTCATCTTTAGCCTCACTCTGAATCAGAGGCTTGGCAACTAAGTACACAACTGTAAAATTAAAAATATTTCTTCTTCCACTCCTCAAAGGGTAAAGCGTTCATGTTAGGTCCATATCATGTCCCAATAACTAACATACATTAATACTACGTATTATTACCTTCATATATGTAGCCCGATATGTCCTTCA